AAGAGAGAGACTCCTGAAAAGAATTCAAAGATGGGGTAACAGGAGGATGAGAACTACTAAAAGCCAGTTAGCCATACTAGGATTGGCGACAATCAACTCTTCTCCTGAGTCGCCCTTCTTCTGCTTTTTCCGCTGCTTTTTGGCCTCTGTTTTTGGGGGCACAAGCGGTGATTGATGATGATGGATTCGGAAGGCAACAACGGTAGTGGTTGGTTGGTTGGTTGGTTCAGGGGGTTACATGCAAAAAAAGATATCAAAAACAAAAAAAAATATTAGTACTAGATAGGATACACAAATCAAAATCCATAAGCTTTATGTGGCAGAGGTAAGGAAAATACTAAAATCATTTAAGAGTCCTGGTTAGAGGGCTACATGTGTACAAGCTATACCAAATCTGTGACTTAGCAAGGGCCAATGGTATTTCAGTACAGGAGGACATTTAAGCAAAGGTTAAGACATTATAAGCAGAAGGATCTCACAATTAAATAGATGAATACTCATCTGATACCAAATGCCTCTGGCAAATATGCAGACAATAAAAACCTGCATAATCTTTCATATAATTGAAAACTCAATCAGGATATTATCAATAAAGTTTGATTTTATTGAAGCTATCAAATAACTGGATGAATGGCAATCCATCAAAGATCCTTCTGTTTTTAACCTTTTCCTAAACTTCAAAATAGAGAGATTATGAGATGGTAAATATTTAATCATCAGTCATTAAAAAATCAAACAATAAATAAACAACCAAACAACGACAAAGCAATTCTGCTCCTGTAATGAATTCAATAAAGAGATGATATCTACTGTGTTTTCCTTTGCATCACTACAAACTGCAACTAGAACATTCTTGTGAGTGGAAGCAGTCTCCTCACTTCAATGAAAAAAATAATAAATAAATAATAAAAAACAATGAAAGTTCTAGAGTGCAGTGTCTCGCTATAAATCAAATTATATTTTTCACTATTGACCTACAACAAAGGCATAATCAAGGCAGTCAGTGAAAAATTTAAATCTTGTTCATCTCTATATATTCTTTCTTCTGATGATTTTCTAGTGATTTCTCATTTGCATTCATTAAGTGCTATTCTACAGCCAAGTTCAAGTTTCAACATTTCTATTTCATTAAGAGACTACCATGCCTGTCTAAGTATTTGCTGCCTTTACTAACAGACAACAAAACTATGGCTATATACCTATCAAAGTGCACCATGCAACTCTGAAGTGAGTTTCTCTTTCAATGAAGTTATCAGAGAGAGCAGAATAAAACATAGATAGAGGTAGTACTAACAATATCAGTAATAATAATAACAATAATAATAATAATGATAATAATAATAATGATGAAATAAAAACAACAACAATAACAATATATTAGTAATAATAATAATCATAATAAAATCAATAACAATAATATTGATGATGATGGTAACAATAGCAAAACCAATAATGAGGAAAATAGTGATAATGACAATGATGATGACAACAAGAATGAAGATGACAATAATAATACTAATAATACTAATATTACTACTACTAATAATATAATAATAATAATAATAATGATAATAATAATAATAACTGCAATAACAGTAACAAAAACAATGATAATGGTAATAATATGAACATTGATATCTATAATAATAATAATAATAATAATAATAATAATAATAATAATAATAATTAATAATAATAATAATAATATAATAATAATAATAATAATAATAATAATAATAATAATTGCAATAACAATAATAACAATGACAATAATAATAACATAAAACAAAATAAATAGAAACAGTAGCAGTAGTAGTAGGAACTATACCAGTAATAACTAAAATAGTAACATTAATAGTAATGATAATAATAATTATTAAAAACATTATCACAATAATAATAAAAAATAATAAAAATTATAAACATTATAATAATAATAAATAATAATAATAATAAAAACATAATAATCATAACAAAACAACAATAATGCTAAAATAACAATAATGATAATAAGCATAATAATGATGATGATGATGATAATAATAATAATAATAATAATAATAATAATAATAATAATAATAATAATAATAATAATAATGATGATTATCAATCATTAAGAAGAAGATATTAATAATGATAATGATAATAATAATGATAATATTAATAATAATAATAATACCAATAATAAAAATTATCTTGGTCATAATACTTAACACCATCATCTACATAGTTGAAAGAGATAATCATCTATAAATATACTATTCAACTGACATTTGATAATCATCTTGTGATAGAAAGTTAATTATAATTTTGCCAAAAATATTCTTTCTTCCAAGCATTCAAAATTTTGCATTGTAAAACACCATGAAAATATACACTTAATGGAAATCTGCTAATGTCTACTATCAGTATAATGAAAAGCAGCCTTTTCCTTTGCTTGGCTGTCTGAAAAAATCTCCCAAAATAGCACTCCACCATAAAATATAAATACTATCATGTA